CACGGATGAGACAGGGAGGCCCTTCTGCAATATTTGCTGAAAGACATGATGCAGTAGGATCACACCATGTCAGTTGGACAAGGTTAGTCTGATAGAAAGAAGCGCAGACACCACCCTTACCTTCAATTGTACAGAAATACAGTTGACAATCTCCTCCCCTGAACTGACTTCTTTCAGATTGGCTAAAGTGTATAAATAAAAGGTGAGCAACTTGTTGCTTTCCACATTTTGTTGGACTACAGCTCCCTTTAGCCATAGCCAGCATAACCAGATTTGAGGGGTCATGGGATGTGTCGGCCAATAAGTTTTGGAGGCTCACAAGAAGCATGTTCATAATAGTAGATCCAGGGTGGAAAAGTTTTTTTCCCAATCAACAAAGTCACTGGTTTCAGAGTTTTACAAAAGGATTAGAGAAAGAAATGCAGAGGGACAGGTGTAACCAAAGGATTGGTCACTAAGAACTCAATGGAAAATCAGAGCTTCTCAAAGCCTTTCTGTTCTCCCTCTTCGAATAGCAATTGCACTCAAGTTCAATGTGCTGCTAACAAGAATTCAGAAAAAAGCTTGTAAAAAGGCTTGGGCCAAGACATTTTAATGCCCGAGGCAAACATGATACCTCCTTGTATACACTCGTGAAAACCAGCTGGGACAGCGGTTGACCCTTCAGGTCAAGACTGGTGTTGAATATCCAGGGAGTTCAGGAGGAATACTAGGCCCCTTCTACACTGTTCTCTCTCCCAGGTTCTGATCCCAGATTATCTGTTCATTGATGTCAGATTCAGCAGGGCTTCTTGTATGGCATGCCCATGGGCAGAAGAAATACAAATCCAAGCAGGAGGTGCTAGAGCAGTGTTTCTCAACCTTCCTAATGCTGTGACTCCTTAATACAGTTCCTCATGTTGTGGTGACCCCCAACCACAAGATTATTTTTGTTGCTACTTCATAACTGTAACTTTGCTACCGTTATGAATCGTAATGTAAATATCTGATATGCAGGATGTATTTTCATTCACTGGACCAAATTTGGCACAAATACCCAATACGCCCAAATTTGAATACTGGTGGGGTTTAGGGGAGGGGTATTGATTTTGTCATCTGGGAGTTGTAGTTGCTGGGATTTCTAGTTCACCTACAATCAAAGAGCATTCTGAACTCCACCAACGATGGAATTGGGCCAAACGTCCCACACAGAACCTCCATGACCTGACCAACAGAAATTACTGTGTCTTTGGGGATCCCTCTGACCCCCCCCCCCCGGGGTCCCGACCCACAGGTTGAGCAACACTGGGGTAAAAAGTGAGGAATGGTGACTAAAGGGGACATCTTCTTGCCGCCTGAAGTGGTACAGGTCTTTTGCTTGTCTCTAGCTCCTGGCATCTGTTATTTTGCATGAATCAGAAGACTGAGCTACACTGGACGGGAAACACCGAATCCAAGTGGAGCTTCTAACGCAAAACAGTTCACCAACTCCTATGGCCTTGCGCTGTTTCTTTCATCAATGTTACAAAGAAAGAGAAGTGCTGTGTTATAAAAAAAAAAGCCAGCAGTGAAAGGACTCATTCATTCACTAATTCATCTCTGACACATCAAACTTAACCCTCTGCAGATTTGAAGAGCGTTAAACCCGGATCATCCTGGTAATCTCCCTGTGCTTTGTAAACATGATATATGCTGGTGAACTGTGTACTAGCTCTCTTGTATCCAGTCTTGTCCATGGCTTTAGATGAACTGGAAAGCTTGGCTATGGGAGATGACCAGGTCGGTTACTTGTTGTCTATTTTGAAATCATCCTGGAGGGCAACTTCTCCCAATTTGGCATTCTCCAGATTGTTTTGAATCAGTCTGGTCCTGGAAAAGGCAGCCCAAAACAACATAGAAGGCTCCAAGCAGGGAAATCAGTATCAGGAGGCCAAGCCTTTTGTGTTATAATGGTCTTCAAGGTATGTAGTACAGGCTAGGTTATGAATAAGACACACATGTCAAAAACTACCCTAAGGACAATTGTCCCTATCCTACGGCGGCCCCCAAATGTGCAGGGGGAATCAATGATGCATGAGGCCATGTACAGCAGCAAAGCACAGGCCCAGGTCCAGTCCTTGGGAGTTTCTCAGGTCTCAGAGCAGAGCTGGGAAATGCTACTCTTTTCCGCTGCAATTTGCAGAATTCTCTGGGAATGTATAGAATTGTAGTGTTGGAAGAGTCCCCAAAGGCCACCCAGTCCAATCCCATCCTACCATGCAGAAAGGCACAATCAAAGCACCCTTCTGCTTAATTGCAACAGTGATAGGCCAGATGTTTTTGAACTGCAGCTCCCACAACCCCTCCCCCCCAAACGATTGGCTATGTGGGCCTGTACTGTTCTCCGCTGTAAACCAAAACGTATGTCCACTGTAAGTGTGAGAGACCTCTTTCAGACAAGATACCAAAACATACCACATAGGGTGAGTGCTCTCTTTAAGAATCTTCAATTTAGTGGGGTCTTATTTGGAACTTCAGTCATTGAGTATATTGATCATTCTATCTGGGGGTCTGGAACGGAATCCAGAGAACTCAAGATTTGGCAACCACTGAATTACATCATCTGGAAAGGATCAATTACACTGTTTTTTTAAAATTGTGTCAGAAGCGAATTGAAAATATACTGCAAGTCGCTTTTGGTGCAAGAGAATGGGCCATCTGCAGGGATGTTGCCCAGGGGACGTCTGGATGTATTGCCATCCTGTGGGAGGCTTCTCTCATGTCCTCGCAGGAGAAGCTGGAGCTTTGTTTCAGTCAGCAGTCCTGCCGGCTCTAGGGTTTAACCCATTGTGCCACCGCAGCTTGTTATGCTGCGTAACACTATTTTTGTTCCTGGGTTATAAATAGGAAGAACTTCCTAATAGTGAGAGCTGGTCAGCAGTGGAACTCTCTGCCCCGGAGTATGGTAGAGACTCCTTCTTTGGAAGCTTTTAAACAGAGGCTGGATGGCCATGATTGCTTATGTTGTTATCATTGCTATAATTGCTATTGTTATTGATGTTATGTTTTTGTTGTCATGTAATGCGGGCATCGAATTGTGACTTGTGTAAGCCGCCCCGAGTCCCCCTCAGGGTGAGAAGGGCGGGGTATAAGCGACTGTAATAAATAAATAAATCTGCTGGGGGTGCTTTAAATGCGATTTTCCTGCTTGGCAGGGGGTTGGACTGGATGGCCCATGAGGTCTCTTCCAACTCTATGATTCTATGATTCTCTGCCCTGGAGTGTGGTGGAAGCTCCTTCTTTGGAGGCTTTTAAGCAAAGACTGAATGGCTATTTGTCGGAGGTGTTTTGATTGTGTTTTCCTGCATGGCAGAAGGAGTTGGACTGAGTGGCCAACAAGGTCTCTTCCAATTCTATAATTCTATGATCCTATGAAATGCCCATTTCCTAATTAGTTCTATCATAAAAACACGAAAAAAGGTTAAACTGCCAAAACTTTGTTTTTGCAGGACATCCTGCAATACATTTTGCTCTAGTTCTTCCATGAATAGCTTCCATGAGTCTCCACCAATTCAACCTAGTTTGTGGCAGCCACAAAAGCAAAGCTTCTGGAGTAGAATCATAGAATCCTAGAGGTTGAAGAGTGGATTCCCATACACATACACAAAATTTGCTCAGAAACACCTATCCATGTGCAAAGGAATCATGTATCGCAAATAACTAGTGGAGAAGTTTTAGGATGTACTCCCACTAATTTTAACTGAATTTCTATCCACTGGACCTCACCGTTGTCACCCTCAGGTGAATTCCAAATACATATATGATGCTTTATGTAATTGTTACATGGACTTTATTGTTATTGTGTTGCTTTGCTTATGTATTTTGTTGCATTTTATATGTTTGCACTATTGAGTGCTTCTGTGAGCCGCTGCGAGTCACTTCAGGGAGATCTAAATAAAGTTTATTATTATTACTGATTACATTTGGAAACAAATGGAGAGCTACATTTTAAGTGTGCAGTTGTATATTTATACAGTAGTTACTCACTGGCTTGTCTCTGGCCAGACTGCAACTCCCAAGCTCTCGGGAAGCACCAAATTGAAAGAGGTGTTAGAGATCATCTAGTCCAACCCCCTGCTAAATAAAATTTGGCAACGATAGCACCACAAAACCTGCAACAAAAGACAGCTTACTGCCTCCAATATATTTACATTTGATCTCTCACTCAGTGCTGCAGAGAAACATGGAGAAGTGAAGGGCAAGCTTGACTGTGTTCCTTATTGTATCCGTGAGGAAGTTCTTCCTCTGAGCAACTGTTTTAAACATTATACTACCACTAACTGCCCTGAGTCCCTTTGGGGAGATAGGGCAGCCTATAAATAAAGTATTAGTAGAGGTAAGGGTATCTCCTGATATTAAGTCTAGTCAAGTCCGACTCTGGGAGGTGGTGCTCATCTCCATTTCTAAGGCAAAGAGCCGGTGTTGTCCGTAGACACCTCCAAGGTCGTGTGGCCAGCATGGAGCACCGTTACCTTCCCACAGAAGAGGTACCTATTGATCTACTCACACTTGCATGTTTTCAAACTGCTAGGTTGGCAGAAGCTGGCCCTAACAGTGGGAGCTCACCCCACTCCCCGGATTCGAACCGCCAATCTTTTGGTCAGCAAGTTCAGCAGCTCAGCGGATTAACCCACTGCGCCACCAGGGGCCCTGCAATAAAGTATTATTATTATTATTATGCAGTTTTGTTGTTTTTGAAAAAATACCCAATCCTGTCCTTACTGATTAGTAGCCGAAATACATTTTAGTTCCTTTGCCCAAGCTTGTATTTTACAGATCTTATTATGGGATGCAGCAGAGAGGAGGGGAAGATAGTCACACGATCTATGCTTCGGGAGAAAAATAGATACTTTGCCTTCATCTTAAAAGAGATCCATTCTTATGATCCCTTCTAAGCATGTCTTGCCATCAAACAACCCTTGCCAAAGAGTTTGATTCAGCCTCAAACGCTGCCATGGTGGAATACGAAGGACACTCTTGCATTATCAAACTAAAGGCAATTTTATTAATTGTCATTATTATTTCATAAAATAGTAGGACATGAAAAATAATCGCATCTGACAAATATATATCATTTCCACACACAGACACACTCGTACGTTCTCTCTCACACAAACATGTGCCTTCCCTTTGCAGCAAAGGACAGACCATAGGTTCAGATAGTTTCCCTTCTCTGAAAATAAAAAATAAAATGGAGTGCTTCTTGATCTATTCATTCCCAGAATTTGTTTGACAATGGAAAGAGTCAATAAGCCTCTTTGGATCCTTTTCAGTTAATCCCCTTCCCCCTTTTCTTCTTCGACAAATCAGTCCAAACTTGTCTGATTTCCATTAAAAAGCCACCAAATGTAACACTAAAGGGTTTCCAGGGACTAGACCCCTTAGTTCTTTTGTTAAGTGATCCCCTTTGTTGCCTTGATGTATAGCAAAATACTTTTTTCTTGTTTTATGTCCTTGCAAGGATGGTTACTGTGTGTGCACGCCTGTGTAAGGGGGCATATTATATTGCACATTATTTCTTTTGCACCCCAACTTGCAGGGGAGCATCTTGCAGGGGAGTTTTAAGCAACGGAGCGTGGCCGAGCCTTTTGGACTGAAACTATTTTCAGAGATACTAGGCACAATGCAAAGCGCTTGGGGGAAAAGATGTCTTTAAGTTTGAACAGAACTTGTTTTCAAAGCCGATGCACTAACTGAACTCAAGGTTCTCTCATTCTCAAAGGGCTACTTTCCTAAAAGGACACAATTCTCTGTCAAGTTCTATTTTTTTTTCCAAAAAAACTCACCACTATCAATTCTATCTCAACTTGGTTAGAAATCTAAAGGCAAACCAGTCTTTAATATGTATACAAATAATTACACGCTGCTCTTAACTCAGGAGGACTGGGGTGGGAGAGAAAACAAATGACACCGTGTCACACTAGGATCTTTGTTCCTGGGTCAAGAATGTCATTTCCCCATTGGGTCGATCATAAAAACACGGGAAAAGTTGATTAAGTTGCCAAAACTTTGTTTTTGTGGGAGGGAGGGAGAGAGGGAGGGAGGGACATCATCCTGCAGAACATTTTGCGATGGTTTTCCAATGACTATCTCAAAGACGCCACCAATCCGACACAGTTTGTGGCAAGCACAAAAACAAAGTTTCTGGAGTAGAACAACTGCTTTCCAAGTAAGTACCACACATTTAAACAGGAAATGACACTTTCAAACGAGGAACAGATTTTTTTTCAAGTTTTGTTACATAGTGTTAATAGGCAAAGCTGGATGAGGGGTAGAGAGAGTAGTCAGCTTACTTCATCAGACTAGAGGGGGAAAATCCACTTAAAATCTGGTTTCTGTCTGGGGTTTGTAGTTTACGGAGGAGCCTTTAACAGCCTCACTAAACTACAAACCCCAGAATTCTGCAGGAGGCAGAAACCAGTTTTTAAGTGGATTTTTTCTCTACTGTGATAAACTTGTGTGTCAGTCTTCCATGCGCTAAATCTTTTACCAAAGTATGTTCTGTTTAATGTGTTGTCTAAGGCTTCCACGGCTGGAATCACTGGGTTGTTGTGAGTTTTCCGGGCTGTACCGCCACATTCCAGAAACATTCTCTCCTGACGTTTCACCCACATCAGGAGATAATGCTTCTGGAACATGGCCATACAGCCCAGAAATCTCACAGCAGCCCTATGTTCAGTTTTCTCTCCAAACTCTGCATTCTAACAGTTCAATCCTTCCCCTCCTAGATTTGCTCTTTTGTCTATCTGATCAAAGGACATTAAAAACCCCACACAATTGCATTAACTATCATGCTTTTCCTTAGTTCTGAGTGCAATGTTGAGCACTTGTAAGTCTCGTGACACAGGTTAGACACTTGTAGCTTTTTTTAAAAAAAAAACAATCAAAAACAAACAAATGCTATTGGTAGGCAAAGTTGTTCACACACAGGTAGGGGATTGCAAAGCTGGCTCATATTTTGTGTGGTGGACTTTGGGCAGATGCTGGGTTTTTTGGTACAGTCCACTGCTTGCAATCACACTGGCCGGTTTCCTCCGTGTCCTCTTCTTCAGTCTCTGACTGCAAACGTTTTGCCAGGACTGGAGGGTCTTGGAGGTCCAGATCCACATGCCGCTTGTAATCCCCACAACCAACAGCATGAAGACCTTGGCCATGAAAATCTCCACGGCAGGGATGGATTTGCTCATGGTGCAGTCCAAGTGTTTGGTCTGATTGCCATTCACCTTACACTTCTGCTGCATTGCCAAGACCTTCCAGTAATCCATATTCAGCCGCTCATAAAAGTAGCAGGCGATCACGCACGTGGCCGGCACTGTGTATAAGACGGAAAAGACACCAATTCGGACCATGAGCTTCTCCAGCTTGTCGGTGTTTTCCCCGCCCGTCTTCATCACCCGTCGGATGTGGAAGAGGGCCACAAAGCCCGAGAGGATGAAGGAGGTCCCGATGACAAGGTAGCAAGCCAAGGGGACCAGGACGAAGCCGGTCAAGGCATCAACATCCATGCTGCCCACGTAGCAGACGCCTGTGAGCTCATCCCCGGCCACTCGGCGCATCACTAAGATCACAATGGTCTTCACAGCCGGGACAGCCCAGGCCGCCAAGTGGAAGTAGCTGCTGTTGGCTTCGATGGCCTCATGGCCCCATTTCTTCCCGGCGGCAAGGAACCAGGTCAAGGTCAAGATCACCCACCACAAGGAGCTGGCCATCCCGAAGTAGTAGAGCACCAGGAAGACCAGGGTGCAGCCGGTGCTCTCCAAGCCTTCTTGGATGACGTAGAGCTGGCCGCTGTCTCGGTCGCAGGCCACGCTCTCGGCCCCGGAGAAGAGGCGGATGAGGTAGCCCAGCGAGTAGACGCAGTAGCACATGGAGAGGAAGATGATGGGCCGCTCGGGGTACTTGAAGCGCTGGGGGTCCACCAGGAAGGTTAGGACGGTGAAGGCGCTGGAGAAGAAGCAGAGCACCGACCAGACACCGATCCAGATGGCGGCAAAGCGCTTGTCCTGCCGGCTCCAGTAGACGTCGACCCCTGGGCTGCATAGTGGGGCACAAGAGGCGCTCTTCTCCACGCGCCGGAACTTGCCCGGGTTCCCGCAGGAAGACGCCCCCTTGGGCGGCGGTGGCGGAGGCTCATGCTCGGCGGGCCGGTGGGGCCGGAACAAGGGGGGCAGCGGTCCGGCTTTGGGGGGCTCCTCGGAGCCGTTGCTGGGGGCCTCCATGCAGAGGAAGTTGGGATCGTTCTTGCTGGGCAGGCGGCTGCAGTCCAGGGAGTCGGGCCAGCGGAAGGTGAACTGCTCCATGACGGGCGAGCACTTGAGCCGGGCCTGCTCGCACATGACCCGGCAGGCCGGGATGGGGGCCGAGACCTGCTCGGTGCACATGGGGGCATAGAGCGAGCAGAGGAAGAAGCGCAGGTGCCCGTGGCAGCCGTACTCCACCAGCGGGGCAAACTCGTGGAGCTGGATGGCGGCCTCGCGCTGGTCCTCGTGGCCCATGAGGTTGGGCATGCGGGTCACGTTGTAGCCAATGTCCTGGCACATGGGGATGGCGATGGGCTGGCAGCGGGACTCCCCCGGCCGCTCGGGCTGCTCCAGCGAGCCCATGCCCAGGCAGGGCGGGCACAGCAGCAGCAGCAGGCACAGCCGGGCCAGGCTCATGGCTCCTCTCCTCCCGGGGTCCGGCTCAGAGCGGCGCCTGTCCCGGAGACGCCTCGGCCCCGGCCACCGCCGAGCCCCTCCCTTCCAGGCGCCCGGGCCCGGGGAGCGGCGGCGGCGGCGGAGGAGGAGGAGGAGGAGGAGCACCAGGAGGCAGCATCCCCTCCCTCCCACTCACCGGCGCCTCTCTCCTCTCCGCCGCCACACAGACAGACAGAGAGAGAGAGAGAGAGAGAGCACCGCCACCAAAGAGAGAGCAAAGCGCAGCACACCTCCTCCTCCTCCCGCTGCCGCTCTCCGTCGGACGGTGCCCCTCGCCGGACTTTCCGCCGCTTCGCCCCTCCCCTGGGGGCGGGGCCACAGCAAGGGGCGGGGCCTCGGAGCCTGCCCCCCTTTGCTTCCCCTCCCTCTTCACTCCGCCCTACAGCCTGGGCTCCGCACGCTGCTGAGCCTTGGCCACGCCTCCTCGCTAGCCACGCCCCCTCTCGCAGCAAGCAAAGGGAGTTCCTAGAGCAGGGATGGGCAGACTTCCGCCCCTCTGGGTGTTTTGGACCCGCAGGCTCTTCGGATTTGGGGTTAGTTGAAGTCCAAAAACACCCGGGAGAGCCCAAGTTTGACGTGCCTGGTGCAAGGAATGCGAGAAGGACCTCATCCCACTAGAGCACTGGTTCTCAGCCTGTGGGTCCCCAGGTCTTTTGGCCTTCAACTCCCAGAAATTCGAACATCTGGTAAACTGGCTGGGATCTCTGGGAGTTGTAGGCCAAAACACCTGGGGACCCACAGGCTGAAAACCACACCACTAGAGAAAAAAAAACACCTTACAATCTGGTTTCTGCCTCCTGCCAAGATATAGAATGAGGGGAGAGCAGTTCATGAGAAAAAGCTCTTGGCGTCCTCGTGGGTGAAACGTCAGGAGAGAATGCTTCTGGATCATGGCCATACCGCCTAGAAAACTTACAACCTAGCCTAATGGTATCTAGTTGCTTCTCACTGAGGACTGCAAACTTGAGCAGTGTGTGGTTGAAATCCAACAATATGTACATACATGGACATACACACAGGGCTGTTCATATTTGTGTGTGTGTGTGTGTCAATTCCAAAAGGGGGCCTAGGCAGAGAAGGACAATCAATTTTACAGGGAGAGGGAGACATACACATATATATGTAAAAGTAGAGGGTTGTAGGTTTTTTCGGGCTGTATGGCCATGGTCTAGAGGCATTCTCTCCTGACGTTTCGCCTGCATCTATGGCAAGCATCCTCAGAGATATTGAGGTCTGTTGGAACTAGGAAATCTGTGGAATGACCAGGGTGAGACAAAGGACTCTTGTCTGCTGGAGCTAGGTGTGAATGTTTCAACTGGCCACCTTGATTAGCATACAATGGGCTGACTGTGCCTGGAGCAAACTTTTGTTGAGAGGTAATTAGATGTCCCTGCCTGCTTCCTCTCTGTTGTTGTGCTGTTGCAATTTTAGAGTTTTTTAATACTGGTAGCCAGATTTTGTTCATCTTCATGGTTTCCTCCTTTCTGTTGAAATTGTCCACATGCTTGTGGATTTCAATGGCTTCTCTGTGTAGTCTGACATGGTGGTTGTGAGAGTGGTCCAGCATTTCTGTGTTCTCAAATAATATGCTGTGTTCAGGTTGGTTCATCAGGTGTTCTGCTATGGCTGACTTCTCTGGTTGAAGTAGTCTGCAGTGCCTTTCGTGTTCCTTGATTCGTGTCTGGACAGTGCTGCGTTTGGTGGTCCCTATGTAGACTTGTCCACAGCTGCATGGTACACGGTAGACTCCTGCAGAGATGAGAGGATCCCTCTTGTCCTTTGCTGAACGGAGCATTTATCAGATTTTCTTGGTGGTCTGTAGATAGACTTTAGGTTGTGTTTCTTCATCGGCTTCCCTATGCAGTCAGTGGTTCCCTTGATGTATGGCAAGAACACTTTTCCTCTGGGTGGATCTTCATCTTTACTCTCGTGGCTTGTTCTTGGTCTTGCAGCTCTTCTGATGTCTGAGGTGGAGTCTCCATTGGCCTGGAGAGCCCAGTTGAGGTGGTTCAGTTCATCTTGGAGGAGGTGGGGTTCGCAGATTCTTTTTGCACGGTCTGCCAAGGCTTTAATGGTGCTTCTTTTTTGACCTGGGTGATGGTTGGAGTTTTTATGTGGATATCTATCTGTGTGTGTGGGTTTTCTGTAAACGGTGTGACCCAATTGTTGATCTGGTTTGCGGATGACTAGGACATCTAGAAAAGGCAGTCTTCCTTCATTTTCTTTTTCCATGGTGAACTGGATTTTTGGGTGGATGCTGTTGAGATGGTCCAGGAACAGGAAAAGTAGCTTTGGATAGCATAGGAAATCTTTGGATAGCATATATATATATATGCTTTGTATCTCATAGGGAAGGGCAAACAATCCTGTGGGATTTCCTTTGCTGCCTGTGCCCCTGTTCAGAAGATTCCACCTCACTTTCTGTCCCTGTGAGGATTGGATTTTGGAAAATGTGGCTTATTGTGGAAACAAGGATTGGTGAGAAAGCTTCAGTGGAGACACCATTTCTCCATGATGATAACTCTTCCAGGAGTGGATTTCCTTTCTTTGGTGCAGATTTCTCTCACTTCCTGTTGTTTCACCCCCGTTCTGAACTATGAGTCAGGTGTTTGTAACTCAAGACTGCCTGTATACATTTTGGAGCTTGATCCTGGCTCTGCTTGATGCCCACAGGCTCTGGACAGTGGGCTTTCCTTGTCTGCGTGGATGCTTGCTTGAGGGAGGAAGTGTGCTTTGTGCGTGCACCAAAGTTTTTCCAATCCCTCCTTCAGATCCTCTGAAAGCTGACTTTGAAACAGGGATCATAGAATCATAGAGTTGGAAAAGACCTTGTGGGTCATCCAGTCCAACCCCCTGCCAAGAAGCAGGAAAATCTCATTCAAAGCATGGCTCTTTGTGTGTGAGAGAAGGGGGTCCCAAGCCCTCGAGAGATTCCTTTCTTTCCAAGGTGGAAGAAGGAAGAGAGGAGGATGAGCTGTAAGGGAGGTGGGACACTTTGTCAAAGGGAACCGACTCGGGTGCAGTTTTATGGCCAGGGCCATAAATGTCTGGCTGAGAAGCTCATAAAATCCAGTTGGCCTGAAGTCTTTGCTGTCCCATCTGTTTACAAAAAGGGAGCTTTGATTGTCTGGTAGGAGCCAGGAGTGTCAATGCCACATAGACCAAATGCCAGAAACAGGACCTCAGGGGGCTTATATCTCTTTACACTAAATCCCCTGAGGCATCAGGAGGGCAAATGGAAAATTCCCTAAAGCGAGAGCAAAAGAGCACAAAAAAGAAAGGGGGATTTGCATCCCTACATGGCCTGACTTGGTTGGAAACCTACTGAAATCAGGGTTATTCATGGCTGAACAAAAATGCAAAAATATTCACATAATATTCACAAAACATATTCACAAAAATAATCATGACAATATTCAGAAAAATATTCATGAAAGTATTCACAAAAATATTCATGAAAATATTTGCAAAAATTACAACAATATTCACAAAAATGTTCACAAAATAATCGTGAAAATATTCAGAAAATATTCACAAAAGTAATAATGAAAATATTCAGAAAATATTCATGAAAGTATTCACAAAAATATTCGCAAAAATATTCACAAAAATAATCATGACCATATTCAGAAAAAACTATTTGTGAAACTATTCACAAAAATATTCATGAAAATATTCAGAAAATTACAACAACATTAACAAAAATAGTCACCAAAATATGCAGGAAAGTATTCACAAAATAATCACAAAAATATTTGCAAAAATATTCAAAAAAATCATGAAACTATTCAAAAATATTCATGAAAATATTCACAAAAATTACAACATTCACACAAATATTCACAAAAACATTCATGAAAGTGTTCACAAAAATAATCACAAAAATGTTTGCAAAAATATTCACAAAAATCATGAAACTATTCTCAAAAATATTCACAAAATTATAATTAAAAAACTATTCGTGAAAATATTCAGAAAAATATTCATCACTCTGACAACCATCATGTCAAACGACACAGAGAAGTCACTGAAATCCACACGCATGTGGACAATTCAACCGAAAGGAGGAAACCATGAAAATGAACAAAACCTGATTACCAGTATTAAAAAACACCAGAATCAAGACAGTAAATAAAGAGCAACACTACCCCCCCCCCCAAAAAAAAAAACAGGGGAATTCCAGACAGCAAACAATCAAGTGTCAGCAAACACCTCCCAAACAAAGGATGCCTTCAGGCAACAACACTGATTGACTCTGCATCCGCAAGGCTACTCAATACTAATTAAGCTTGCCAATTGCAACATTTACACTTCCTTCACACAGACAAATATTCATCCCCTACCCTGGACAATCCACAGATTATATATATATATATATATATATATATATATATATATATATATATTACACTGACCTCTGAACAAACATCTGAGGATGCTTGCTACCACAGGTACAGGTGAAACATCAGGAGAGAATGATACTAGAACATGGCCATATAACCTGAAAAACTAATGGCAGCCCAATTTCTATCTACTAGGACACTTTGTACACGGGACACTTCAGGCTGCAGTGCCTGCCATGACATCATTTCTGGACTACAACTCCCATTTCCCTGGCCAGCCATACTAGCTGGGGCTATTCAGGTACATCCTCACAGCATCCCCACTCTCTACCTTTTCTCTAGGACTTAAGGGGCTACCAACACCCTCTAGTATGATGCCATGCTCACTGAGGTTTGATGCCACTTTGAACTGCTACATGTCCATGGGAAAGAGAACTTGGATACTTGGACCCCTTCTACACTGCCATATAATCCAGGTTATGGAAACACATTATCTGCTTTGAACTGGATGATATGAGTCTATATTGCCATAAAATCCAGTTCAAAGTAGATAATCTAAAATTTGATATGGCATTGTAAAAGGGCACTAGAAGTAGATCACAAGCTGAACATGAGCCAAGAATGTGATGCAGCAGTGACAAAAAGCCAATAGGATTTTGAGCCGCATCAAAAGGAGTACAGGCAGTTCCCTAGTTACAAACATCTGACTTGCAAACAACTCGTAGTTAAGAACAGGGGTGA